AAGTCCCTCTCCAGCTTTCTTGTAGGCATCTTTTAGGTACCAGAAGGCTGCTCTGAGATCACCCCGGAGCCTTCTCATCTCAATCCCTGACGTGAGCAGACATTGAAAAGCAAAGTCAAGGTCATTTAGGTTAAAAAAAAGAGATTCCTTGCTGCGGTTTGGAAAACAAAACAAAAAAAATACCTCCGAGGAAGCATGAGAGCAGGAACCCAAAGTGTAGCCCTCTACCTCCACACGCAGGGCAGTGGGGTGGGATGACCACAGGCTCCAGCGATCCTGCTGCCACATACTGCCCTGCCAGGGCACCACTGCTGCAGCGCCAATCACAGAATCCTAGAATGGTTTGGGTTGGAAGGGACCTCAAAGATCATCTAGTTCCAACCCCCTGCCATGGGCAGGGACACCCTCCACTACACCAGGTTGCCCAAAGCCCCATCCAACCTGGCCTTGAACACTTCCAGGGATGGGGCAGCCACAGCTTCTCTGGGCAACCTGTTTCAGTGCCTCACCACCCTCTGAGTGAAAAATTTCTTCCTTAGATCTAATCTAAATCTACCTCTTTCAGTTTAAAGCCATTGCCAGGTTCTCCTCTCAGATACCCTTCCAAACACTTCCAATAGTTAGAATTGGAAATAACTATTTCTTATTAATAGCTTAATTAACAGTTCTAATTAACGGTTTACTTTCTGTTCCAGTGATTTTGAAATATTAGCACTGCAAAATAGACACCAGCCAGGCAGACCGATTAATAAAAGCTTTAGTTTTACGATGTAGAAACACAGTAACTTTCACTGCATTATTATCTACGACAGCGGACGATCAGGCATTTGACCGTGCAGGCAAACATTTTAAGGAAGAAACCAACGCATTAAAGATTCAGAGTAAATTCCATTCTATTTGTTTTACAAAGTCACAAACATAGAGTGTTTAGTCCAACGCTTCCACATTAGATCCAGAGCAAACCAAGGCGTGTGCTCTTACAGAATTTTACCACTGACTTCGCCATCCCTGTTCCAAAAAAATTAAGAAAACTATGGGATAGGATCCGCATCTCAGATTTGATCAGCACCATTGCATCGGTATTCAGGTTTTTTCAATGTACAGAAATGTTAGCCCCAAATCATGTCTCAGTACAACATATTACACTTCAAAATCAGAGCTTGAAATCATTCTTTCAAGGAAATCATCATCAAGGACAGAAAATAACCTTCACTCTTCAGCCATAGGAAACACTGCAGGAAACATTGGTAGCTGTTTTGCCTTGTATTTGATTTGCAAATATTTTTTGCAAATTGCAAATTTGCAATTTGATTAGCCTCGTATGCTTCAGTACATTTTATGTTTATCAAAAGGAATGTTAGAGACCAAAAAAAAAAAATCTTTATTTCAAGTGTAGGTAAATACAGACAACAGCAATGCAGAACTCTCATACACTCTCATCCCTGTCTGCTGGAGTTGAGTAACTTCAGCCTCACTGGAGCACTCTGTTTCGGAACAGAACTTTGAAACAATTCAGTTAATTTAAACACAGTTAAGATAAAAATGTTCTACGTTTAAAGAAGTTGACTGGTTCTCATTTTTAAAGCTGTCTTAAAAATTCAGGATTCACATTTCAAAGGGCCTCACCAAACAGACAGACTGGTACGTCCTTAGACAGGATTTAACCATCGTTGCTAACAAGGAAAGTAACTCATTTCAAGCTCTGCATTTAAAGCACCCATCATCTTTTACACAGCAACCAGCACGTAACACACCACTTGTGACATTTATCTACACTGTGTTATCACCACCTATGACAAAGAGCAGGCACTGAGCTTTTAAAAACGTTATTACAAATCGTAAAGATTACATATTACTGGAAAGTTAGAATCCATATTCAAGAACCAAGAATTTAAATACTTCTTGCCACGTTATTTTATGCATATATTTATAGATGAGCAATCACAGGCATTTTGGTTTTCGGCCCGTTTTCCCCAAGTTCCCAACCAAAAGCGCACTGGACAGTGTAAGAGGAGCGGCACACGAGCTGCCTGACAGTGCAGGGTCCTTGCGAGTACCTAAACCTGAGCTGGGAAAAAAGTTCTGGTCTGTCAAGTGCTGGGTTACCTTTTGAAATAAACACGGTCCCTTCCCACTCCTGCCCACCTGTCCAGGAAATAGGTGAGAACTACTGGTTTTCTGTCCTTCACCCACAAGCAGCACACATAGATGTGATGGACACTACATAACCAAGCTGTTCTTGAACACCACGAGGTCTGGTCGAGTCCATGTAAGTGTTTCTTAAAGCACAGTGCAATTTTAGTCCAAAGCACTTCCCCCCTCCCAGCATCTATAAACAACTAAAGCCTATTTTTAAATCAGAATTAGAAGTCAACAGTCTTGTTTCATCTGTATCCTCAAAACAAGACTGTTTCCCTGGTTAGAAAGTACACCTACGATTGAAGATGTTTAAAACATTAGGTCTCCTTGGTGCTGCAGCACGAGGATGGAACCTGCAGGAGTCCCAGGCTTCCAAGATCACGTTGCCTCCAACTTACTTCTCCTTCATTTTTTTCAAATAATGAGCCCGTACTTGTTTGTTTGCCTTCATGAGTATATAAGTGACAGCAGGTGCAGGTAAAAGAGAGAAGAACCATCCCTAAAAAAATACAAGGGGAAAAAAGTCGCAGCTTTTAGTAGCCAGTATTAAGTAAAATCAGTTACCAGCACACACAAACATTAGAAAGTTATGATCAGAAGTTAAAGAACAAAAATATTTAATATTCAAAATTATTCTTTACTCTTCTTCTATAACAAACACCTACATGGAACGTACCAGATTGGAAGTTAAAGACCAAAAATATTTAATATTCAAAATTATTCTTTACTCTTCTTCCATAATAAACACCTCCATGGAACGTACCAGATCCTCACGTTTCCCAAGGTCACTCACCATGAAGGCGTGGGGCAGGCACCCATTGGTCTGGGTCTGCAGGCCCACCGTGCCCAAGGCAGCTCTGACGTACGTTTCGGGACTGGGCTTATCGAAGGTCGGCTTGCGGATTTTCGACATTTTTGTGGCCACGTAATACGGCAGGACACTCTGCATGTAGGAGAAGATCACGTTAAGCAGAGAACGCTTTCAGATTAATTTACAGATCCATCTAGGAACTGAACTGTTGCTTCTCTGCAGCAAAGCCCCAGTGTTTGCTTGGGAAGGAGGCATGGAACCTGGTGAGATCCCACTTGGAGTATGGCGTCCAGCCCTGGAGTCCTCAGCACAGGAAAGCCGTGGACCTGTCGGAGTGGGTCCAGAGGAGGGCCACAAAAAACATCAGAGATGGAATACCTCTCCTATGAGGAAAGGCTGAGAGAGTTGGGGTTGTTCAGGCTGGAGAAGAGAAGGCTCCAGGGAGACCTTAGAGCAGACTTCCAGTACTTCAAGGGCACTTATAGACAAGGACAAACTTTTTAGTAGGACCTGTTGTGATAGAACAAAGGGTAATGGCCTTAAACTGAAAGAGAGGAGATTCAGACTAGATAAAAGGAAGACTTTTTTTTATGATGAGAGTGGTGAAATACTGGAACAGGTTGCCCAGAGAGGTGGTAAATGCCCCATCCCTGGCAACATTCAAGGTCAGGCTGGACGGGGCTCCGAGCAACCTGATTGAAGTTGTTGATAGTTGAAGATGTCCCTGCTGACTGCAGGGAACGTGGACTAGATGGCCTTTAAAGGTCCCTTCCAACCCAAACCATTCTATGATTTAATACTTGAGTAACAGCTCCTCTATTTGGCACCTGTACAGAGAGAAACAAGAAAAGGGAGGAAGAAGAAGGAAAGGGAAGGCCAGGAGACTTGGAACACTGACCTTGTAACTCAAAGGAGGGCTCAGAGGAAGGACCTATCTGTACCAGAGTGTAAGATCTCAAGGACGCAAGAAAGGATCAAGAAATGGAGCACAGTTACTGGGCTTTTATAGCAATGGTTGAAAGAAACAGAAAAAGCAGCGGTGGAAGTGTTCACCAAGCCACTTTCCATCACCTATCAGCAGTCCTGGCTAACCAGGGAGGTCTCAGTTGACTGAAAGTTAGAAAATGTGATGCCCATCTACAAGAAGGGCCAGAAGGAGGCTCTGGGGACTACAGGCCTGTGAGTCTGACCTCGGTATCGGGAAAGGTTATGGAAGGTTTTGGATGATCTTGAGTGCCATCATGTGGCATGTACAGGACAACCAGGTGATCAGACCCAGTCAGCAGGGGTTTATGAAAGGCAGGTCCTGCTGGACTAACCTGATCTCCTTCTATGACAAACTGACCTGCTCAGTGGATGAGGGAAAGGCTGTGGATATTGTTTATCTGGACTATGCTAAAGCCTTTGACACCATTTCCCACAGCATTCTCCTGGAGAAACTGGCTGCTCCTGGCTTGGACAGGTGTCCTCTTCACTGGGTAAAAAACTGCCGGCTGGATGGCCAAGCCTAGAGAGTTGTGGTGAATGGAGTTCAATCCAGCGGGTGGCCAGTCACAAGTGGTGTTCCCCAGGGCTCAGTTCTGTTTAATGTCGTTATCAATGATCTGGACGAGGGGATCGAGCATACTAAGTTGGGTACACAACACCAAGTTGGGCGGGAGCATTGATCTGCTTCAGAGTAGAAAGCCTCTAGAGGGAAAGCCTCTGGATGGGCTGGATCGATGGGCCAAGAACCATGAGGTTCAACAGGCTCAGTGTTGGGTCTTGCACTTGGGTCACAACAACTCCATGCAACACTACAGGCTTGGGAAAGAACGGCTGGAAAGATGCCTGGTGGAAAAGGACCTGGGGGTGTTGGTTGACAGCTGAGTATGAGCCAGCATTGTGCTCAGGTAGCCAAGAAGGCCAATAACATCCTGGTTTGTATCAGAAATAGTGTGGCCAGCGGGACTAAGGAAGTGATTGTTCCAGTGTACTTGGCACTGGTGAGTCCACACCTCGAATACTGTGTGCAGTTTTGGGCCCCTCACTACAAGAAAGACATTGAGGTGCTGGAGCGTGTCCAGAGAAGGGCAACGAAGCTGGTGAAGGGTCTGGAGCGCAAGTCTCATGAGGACCAGCTGAGGGAACTGGGGTTGTTTGTAGCCTGGAGAAAAGGAGGCTCCAGGGAGACCTTATAACTTTCTACAACTACCTGAAAGGAGGTTGTAGCGAGGTGTCAGTCTCTTCTCCCAAGTAACAAGTGATAGGACAAGAGGAAACGGCCTCAGGTTGCGCCAGGGGAGGTTTAGATTTACTATTAGGAAGAATTTCTTCACAAAAGGGGTTGTCAAGCACTGGAACAGGCTGCCCAGGGAAGTGGTTGAGTCGCCATCCCTGGAGATGTCTGAAAGGCATGTAGACATGGCACTTAAGGACATGGTTTAGTGGTGGGCTTGGCAGCATTGGGTTTACGGCTGGACTTGATGATCTTCAAGGCCTTTTCCAACCAAAATGATTCTATGATTCTATGCATCAGCAGATATCTGAAAAGTCTGCGTCCACTTCTGCTACACTAACGGATCTCAAAATGAGAATACCATCTTGAAGCTCAGCGTTTTTGGGTAAGTTACAGTTTGGAAATCTGCTTCCCCATGTTAGTCTCTTAACAACCAACGGTCACACACACCTGACCTCAGAAACATGAGCTTTACTATCACGCTCTCGGAACCATAGCACAGGGGATGGGACCAGTTGAACTCTCATTGACCACTTACCCACACCATGGCTGTGCCCATTTCCACAGGAATTCGACCACCGTAAACAGGAGACATTGCTATGTCCCCTCATTCCTTCACTTTAGAACTTTAAAACCGTGCACCTCTCTCTGTAAATAGGACTTTGATAATATACTGAATGCGTCCACCTTCAAATGGAGAGTGAAATATGGAGCCCTGAATTTCAGAAGTGTAAGCAGTCACCATCGCCTTTCAAATCACCAAAAGCTACAAACGCTTGGATAAGAAAACCACCAGTTCTAGTTTCAGCTCCAGAATGTGAACCTCATCCATTTTTCAGATTACAGTTTCAAACTGAATCTGTATTTTGGTGGTTTACAAAGAGAAAAAAACCCAAACAACTCTAAGCTGCTTATTCACTACCAAATTATATCGGCGACATTCCCACACAGAGCGCTGGCTGAACAGAACGTACAACATCCTTGGAATGGGGAGCATAGTGGTACAAAGGTACCACGGCTCATCCCTGTTACCAGGGATAGAGAACAGCTGGCAAAGAGAACTGCACAGCTGTGGAGGAAGATGGATCGCAACTGCTGCCTCAACAACGATGGTGAATGGAGTCAGGTCACCAAGACCTAGCTGGGCATTTATCTAGCAATCTGGCCATGTCAATGTTTAATTAGTTGCAAAATTCTTGTCCTTTAGGTGAACTTTGCTCATTGAATCATAGAATAGAATGATAGAATGGTTTGGGTTGGAAGGGACCTCAAAGATCATCCAGTTCCAACCCCCCTGCCATGGGAGGGACACCCTCCACTACACCAGGTTGCCCAAAGCCTCATCCAACCTGGCCTTGAACACTTCCAGGGATGGGGCAGCCACAACTTCTCTGGGCAACCTGTTCCAGTGCCATTGGAATGTCATTATCATACCAAAACACACTTCCATCTCAAAAGCTACTCACCCCTGGGCTTCGACCACCCATCATTGAGCATGTGTCAGAGCAGTTCTAGTCTATAGTCAAATTCTAGTCTAGTCTAGTCAAATTCTTCTAGTCTATACCTTTAAAACAAAGAGAGGAAAATTTACATCAATCCTAACAAAGGTATGTAGGACTAGAGTCACTCAAACTCCACCTGAAAGTGAAAAACAGTATACACGTTCTTTTTCCTTCCAAATGCTCTCTAGAAAAAAGGCAAGTATTTAATTTCAGAAACAAAAGTTTTACCATCTTCTCATTAACTGTGCCGTATTTTAACAGCTATGAAGAGACCTGTTGAATCCATTAAATTAGTTTTCCCCTTCTCTTCCTCCCCACAAGGATCTCAGACATTCATGAACCATATCTAAAACTGGCATGATGATTAAAAAAAAGAAAAAAAAAAATCTTTCACTGCCTAAAATCTTTTAGCATTTTGTATTCAGGCAGATATAAACACACACTACTTGAGCAAGGAACTGTATAGAAAATTCCTTGTGTTTATCCAGGGAAAGACTAGCCTGCTCTCCAGTTTTAAAACATGCCTTAAAAGTAGCTTATGTCAACACGATGTCTCTTGCTCTCGTAAAACATTTGCTAGTGCTTACAGCTCTGATGCTTTTTAAAATTGGCCAGCAGTCAGAATTGGGGTCTTGGATGTTGTATGGATGCAAGAACTGGTCTCAGGTCCCGAACAGAAACCTCTAATTATGCTACATTTACATGCAAATAAGCCCCAAACAGTCAGAAGAACTTGTTCACACAATTTTATCACCTGTTTCACCTTACTTTTAAAAAAGACCTG